GCAGCCCTTCAGAATCTCAGGCTTATCTTCCCAAGCAAAACATCCTATGCATTGGACAATATAGTCTTGATTCCTTACCCCATCAGCCAAAAAAAAAAAAAAAGAAAGAAAACTTGTCCCAAAATAATTGTATTTATTTATAAGCAGATGCACATGCAATTGCAGTATAAATGTGTGCATTACAAAATATACACAAAAATAATATTTAAAGTATAAATAAAAATGAATTAAATAATATGCTTTTACATTTACATCTTGCCTCATATGCCATTTTATATGGCACAAAAAGCCTATTTTACTTTCACTATATTTGTTATAATAACAAGACTTTAAAGAAATCAATGTCATAGGATGTGCCTCATTAATTTTTAACTAGAGGCCCAGTGCACGAAATTTGCACTTGGCGGGGGGGGGGGGGGCCCACCTCAGCTCAAATTGCAAGAGGGGGCAGGCCAGGTCAAGGGACCCCACTGGTGCCCAATCAGGACTTGGGAGGGATGCGGGAAAGCTCCAGGGCATGTCCGGCCCATCTCGCTCAGTCCCGATTGGCCAGACCCCAGCAGCAAGCTAACCTAACAGTTGGAGCATCTGCCCCCTGGTGGTCAGTACATGTCATAGCGAGCAGTTGAGCGGCTTTAGCATATCATTAGCATATTATGCTTTGATTGGTTGAATGGACAACTGGACGACCTGACACTTAGCATATTAGGATTTTATTATATAGGATCCTTTGTTTAACACTGAGAAAAGCAATTCACAGGTCATATCAATACTAGATTTCAATGGCTGTCAAAGCTGAGAACAAAACTTCACTGAAATAAGTAGATACAATGGAATGCAAGCCTATAGCTGCATCCTTGACTCATGCTTAGTGTTCAACTCCTAAACTTTTATGCAAATATTTTTATGAAAGTTAGCCAGTATATTTTCTTTCCTAATGTCAATCAGATGTTCTTACCAACAATCCATAAAATGTACACTTTTATAATTCTCATGAAAGTAGGCAAAACCTAATAAAAACTTAAATAGGTTACAAAGTTGTATTTCCTTGTTTTTAAAAATATGCAAAAGTGTTCATAAATGATGACATGCATTATTTTCAGCAATAAATTAACCATTTTCATGCATTTTTAAAAATGCTTTCTATGCCACAGATTTCTTTCAAATGCTGTTTTATTCCTCCTCATTGATACATCACCTCTCACTTAAAGATACAAATAAAATATGTCTAATTGAAAATATCTGTCTTTTAACACTATTGGACAACCATTTTTCATCACAGAAAAAGTCAATAAATTTGTATCACTTGTATGTTTGTTTTAAAAATGTATAAATCACTTTCAATTTTGTCAAGTCTTTGTAGTAATTGCCCTTGAGATGGCCAACAAACCTCTAGGTGATGATATGATCAGGACCCAGAGACTAAACAGAATCAGACAGAAAAAGGTGGATCCAGGCAGGTGTAACAGAAGGAAGAGGAATAAGTTAGAGAAAAGAGGAAGGAAGAATCTGGGAGACTTAGCTGTGGCTTCCAGTGGTTCCAAAAAGACGCAAGAAGCATCAGGCAGCAGATAACAAGCCAGACCACTCAGGCATCATGGAAGGCCCACGGAGACAATGAAGAACCAGATCTAGAAACAGCATTGCAGTACCCAGAAGAACTAAGGAAAAGCAAGGTCATGCTCCTAGGGGAAAACGGATATCAGATGGGTCTCAGTTATGGCAAATGGAATATAAGGCTGGATCATGACCTTGGATGTGGTGCTAAGTTCTCCTGTAGGGTAAATTTATCATTTCCCTGGATACAAGGTGAAGGAGCTAAAAGCTTCAGGTATCCCCTTAAGGCCATACATCTTAAAAAGTGGTATAGCCAGGACTTGAACCCATCCTCTAGCACCAGAACTGCTAGCTTTGAGGCTCTGCTACTTGCCTTGAGAATAGGACCAGGGCCCAATTGTTAAACCAGAATATTAGGTCAAAACAGAATATGCAGCCAGGCTAATAGGGATGAACTCTTTAAAATCCTGCCCTTGGGCTCATTAAATTCCCCTTGATTGCTAAGGAGTCTGGTTTCCATGGAGACTGAGCCAAGTTTGAGCTGAGTATGAGTTAAATGGGCCCAGTTATGAAAGGAGGAGTCTGGTTTCCATGGAGACTGAGCCAAGTTTGAGTTAAATGGGCCCAGTTATGAAAGTGTGAGACAGGAGGCAGGAAACCAGGCAGGATGTAAAACAGGGCACAGAGGTGTCTAACTTGATATTACTCAGTCAGTCCACAACCTTTCCAGTCCAGAGATATGAAATGGCTTGTGTCCAGTTTAGGCCAGAGTTGGCATGTTGGTTCTCCTGATCCCTGGCCTCCAAACCTCCCTGCCTCTGTTTAAGATTAATTACTCCAGTAGCAGTGATACCTGACAAGTATGTTAACTAGGATTTTGATACATTCTTGGTGAAAAAAAGCAAGAAACATCTTTGAAACATCAACCAATTAACTCAATATTTTATGAACACATAATGCATTCCAAATCTACACACAGATTTAATAGATTGTCAGAAAATATTAAATGTGATCCTTGTTTTGATGTTTCATTAAGGGAATGTTGCATAGACACATGAGAAGAGATCTAAAAATAAAAGGCTGCTATGATTAAATAACAAATGTGGAGTAGGACTGTGCCAAGCTAGTAGGTATTTAGTTATGGCAATGTTTCTGTTGGGAATGAGTAGAATCGCAGAGGTTATAGAAAGCAACCATGAAAGCTAATTGTTCTGGATGACACATCAAACTCCGAAGGTTAACAGAAGTTATCTCTCAGTAGTGAAACTAGAGATGATTTTTACTTTCTTCTGAAGATGTTCCCAAATTTTTCCATAAGTCTCACAATAAATAGATATTACTTTTATATTCAAAGAATATATTTTTTAAAATAACCAAAGGATATAGAACAACTAGAACTCTTATACATTGCTGGTGGGAAAGCAAAATGGTACAGCCACTTTGGAGATCAGTTTGGCAGTTTCTAACAAAGTTAAGCATTCACTTACCATACTAGCCAGAAATCCCACTCAGTTATTTACGCAATAAAAATGTTTTCCTTCCCTCCCTTCCCTCCTCCCACAGTACAAAAATGTTTTAAAAAGCTTTTTTTATATGACCACAAAAAGTAGAAACAACCTATGTGCCCTTCATGATGAAGGTGAATGGATAAACTATGGTATATCAATGCAATGGACTACTACTCAACAATAAAATGCAATGAACACACCACGACATGGAAGAATCTCAAGTGCGTTATACTATGTGAAAGAAGCCAGATTCAAAAATTTCACAATATATAATTGTACTGATATGACATTTTAGAAAAGGCAAAATTTCAGGAACAGAAATAAATTCGCAGGTGCTAGGTATAGCATGTTAACAATCCCTTCCCCCAAATAAAAAGCATTGGAAGACCATCTCAAGGGTTGCTGAAGTACATAATCAAAAGAAGAATTGACCAAGATGGGTTCTATATAGATAATTGGGAATGAAGAGGGACCAAAAGATTTGAGAACCATTACAGGGAGCCCATAGAAAGAATTCCCTGACTCTTTAAATACAGAGAACAAGACACCAAACACTACTCTAAAACCATAAGCCCCCCCAAAACACAATCCTTCACAATGATGAGAGCACCAGTGAAGGTTCTTTAGACTGAAGGAATCATGACCAACTCTGGCTTAGGAAGCCACACACAGGAAAGGTAAATGGGAGCGGGGAGGTATGGGAAGGATTCTGAGTAACTCACAAGAGTGAGGGAAACGCTGAGGAACAGTGTCAGACAACTCTCAGATGCCACTTGAAAACCTTCTTCACCACTGCTGTGTCACCCAGCTTCACCCAAATGTCAACCAGCTCAATGCAGGTACAAACTGAACAGCACCCAGGCTGGCCTTGTATACCACTCTATCCTGGGGATTACCACTCTTTCATACCACTCTAAGATACCCAGTAGGAACTCACTGGGCACTCTCAGTGTGTGAGGCAGAAGCAGAGTTCAGACCATCAGGACACATTGGACCAACAGGAAATAGTAGTCTATAGATAAATGCTTTCCCTTGTCCCTTATTCAGAGCAACAGTTCTGAGATCCTTTTTGAAAACTTCTAAATCAAGTCCTTGGCATTAAGTACCAGTCACCAATTGTGGTGGCCAATTCAATACCTTATCCTGGTATTACTTATCTTTCCTCCCTCCCGGTTTCATTCCCCCCAAATCAAACTCTCTGAACTCATATTATCAAATATATACTAGCTCTGCAATTTCAGCTGTAGAAATTCACGGACTGTCTCTCAATGGACTCGACTCTAACCAGACTCCAACCCTTTCCCAGGAGACAGTTACATGCATACTCTGCTGTGGAGAGGCATGGAACTCATGCTCTAATCTCAACCGAATAATTTGAAATGGAGAAGAGACAGTTCTCCAAAGAATGTGAGGAGATTAGAAACAAAAAAATGATTTGGGAAAATTTTGTTATCTAGTTGAAAATCGCACGCTTTGGTTTGGTTTTAATCATTATTGTTGAAAGTACTACAGATGTCCCCTTTTTCCTCATTGACTCCTTGTGGCCCATACTTGCCCCCCACCCCGGGCCTTCACCATACTATTGTCTGTGCCCATTGGTTATGCATATATGCATATAAGTTCTTTGGTTAATCTTTTGGATCATACTGACTTCTTAATCTTAAAAAAAAAAAAGTCTGCATTGTAGCATACTAGCCCCTGGGTGTCTGAGGTGCACGTTTCTCTTCTCTAAGGATTCAATAGCTCACTAGGCCTTAGTTAAAACCTTAAAATAGAAAATGTAAGCATGATTTATATCTATTATGGGATTTTCTGGTACATTTTTCTAATAGTTCAAAATTAATATTTTAAACATAAAAAGCTTATACTTTAGCAATTGTTAAAATAGCCAGTTTTATTTTACCTCATTCTCATTTTCTCTCTCTCTCTCTCTAGGTTAATATCCAACACGGGTATTAAGCACTTTCCAACTGTTCACAAGATTCAATCTCTCCAAAAGGTTCTACTGTAAGTTTCTCCTTGAGCGGTTACCAACACTTTACTTGGGAGCTGTCTTGCCCATCAGCCTCTGGGCCTGTAATACGCATTGTTTATTCTGCATCTTCCAAATATGTTGTTTTGGCTGAGCAGAGATAGGAAGGCAAACAGCGAGTGGCCTTGGTTTTACCTAAAGGCCTCTAATCTCAGTCTGGAGGAAGTCAGCAGGCTCCTCAATAAGACAGGTGTCAACAGAGCCGGCTTATAGCAAACCAAGCAGTCTCTCCTACCTTCGCTATTTAGTGCCTGGTATATGGTTTCCCCTGAAACGTCCCTGTCTTCCACCATCCTCTCTTCTTCCCCCCAGAATGCCCATGCTGCTCCAGGATTAAAGAAACCACCTGACAAACAAATTCAAACTATATTAGTGACATAATATATTTGCCTTTTCTCAAGGCACCTGATTTTGAAAAAGGAGGAGAAAGGCAATGTCTAATGTGAAGTTGTAAGAATCTGAACAGACCCAGAAGGAAATGGAAATGGGGGGGGGGCGGTGAGAACATAAGCAGCTAAGGAGAAAGGAGGGGAAATGGAGATCGGGAGGGACAAAGAAAGATAGAGAATCTCCCAAAATTTCTCCCATTATTCTGAGCAATTTACTACTTCTACGTTTATATGTTAGATCAGACCCCACAGGGAGGACAGGAAAATGAGACTTTCTCCAGCCTTTTGTTCAGGAGAGAAAAACCAATAACATTTTCCTGTGACCCCAGGAGAACAGAAGACAGGAAACTGGCATAAGAAGGGGATGGAGGTGGGAGGAAGATGAAGGCCCAACTAAGGTGAATGGAGGAGTTTGGGATGGAGCTGAAAGGTCAGCTTAGGTGTTTTGTCATATTTGAGCAGACACCAGCTGTGGAGACAAGAAAAATAAATGTTAGGACCTTAACACAGTGAAATTAGCTGAGAAAACTTTCAAAGAGAACGTCTTACATGTATATAATTCCATTGTTAATAACTAATATACTAAAGATAACTTAGATGTCATTTATTTCCCAAACTTTGAACTCATCATTGTTCAGATATAATGATTGAAACATTACCTCAGCTAAAGACTACGTTATGCCAAGTAACTAAAAGTCGAAAGGTCACATGAGTGGAGCTAACTAAACATCTAATCCATCTGCACTTTCTTCTAGAGATGTTCAAGACAATATACACATCCACACAGTGGGAAGAAATTCTTTCATGGGACTGAGTTTTGAAAATCTAATTCTGTAAGTAGAGAAAAACAAAATCCAGTGGAAGACCGTTTGGTTTTTCATTTAATCATCTCTCTCATAACAGGATACTCCTTTTTCGTCTGGGTAACTATGGCATCTCACCATTTAAATTTCTCCCTGGTTCTGTGTTTTTCTCTCATGGCCCATCTTTGCATTTCAGAATCACAACATGGAATCGTGTTAATAATGTATGAAGCTGTGGTGTGATTCAAGTATTTAAAATTGCTCTTTGAATGATGGTCTCCTGTGATGCAACATCTGTTCCGAAGGACAGAATAGCTCACGCATCAATAAAGCTAGTTATTGCCTGGCAAGGCTTTTGTTGCCGAAAGAAAAAGACAGGAAGGAGGCTGAATCCAGGAAGATACGAATCTTCCCTGAGAACTATGCGAAGCAGCTCCGTTCAGCCCCACGCTGAGCATAAGATGACTTCTCATTTTCTTGGAACAATCACGTTTTTTTAATGAGCTTGAGTTATTCCCTCTGACTTCTGGGAAAGTTCTTAATGCACTTTGTGTCATTAGTGAACTACCTTCTAATATTCTGTGCCAGGAGCCTGAGTGGCAGTGTAGCCACTTCCCCAGACGGCCAAGAAATAGGGTGCTAGGGGCTCCCCAAGTGTTTGTGAGATCCTTGGAAATCAGATGAACAGATGACTTTTAGGGAACCAGTAACTGCAATTACATCTGTAAGGAAAGCATTTTATCTTTCTATTCCACACATTGTTGTATTATTTTAAAAATATATACGTATGTTTTTAATATGCCAATGTGTACAAAAGGTAAGTTTCAGTCTGGAAAGAATTTTCATCCTTTCCAAAACAATAATATGACCAGCTGGGGAGGGAGGGGGGAGAGAGAGGGAGAGGGGGAGGGGGAGGGAGAGGGGGAGGTGAGGGTGAGGGTGAGGGTTAAGAGGGAGAGGGAGAGGGAGAGGGAGAGGGAGAGGGAGAAATAGTAGAGATAAGCACATACTTAAGAATAAAGCTAAGCACAGTATTTGATATAAGTTAATTAGAGAAAAAAGGAAAAGGTTTGAAAGAGACTAGCAGAGGAATTGGATGTGAGAAGGAAAATAATAAAATCAAAGGCATATATTCAGAGTGCACAGTATTAGAATAAAAATTATAGATGAATAATACTTAATCCTTTCACTTAATATGTTCTTGGTAATTGGAATTTGTGTGTGTGTGTGTGTGTGTGTGTGTGTGTGTGTGTTGGAATGAGTTGATGAAGGTGTGGCAAGTATGAGAGAATGGGAAAGCAAAAAAAATTAACTAAAATACAAACAGAATAAAAGACATGCAAAGTAAAAGCAACTATTCTAAGAATAAAGAAGGAAATTTTATTCTGATTGGCCTGTGATGTGAAGGTTGAAGGAAAAGTTAAAATGAGGAAAAGAAGGTTGAGAAAGGAGGTTGTGTCCAGTTGGGCTTTAAAAGATGAGTGGGGTTAGGCAGAGCAAAGGGTAAGCAGAGGAAGCAGAATCATCAAGACCATGGAGGTTAAAAAAGAAAAAGGTAGCCCTGACGGTTTGGCTCAGTGGATGGAGCGTCGGCCTGCGGACTCAGGGGTCCCGGGTTTGATTCCGGTCAAGGGCGTGTACCTTGGTTGCGGGCACATCCCCAGTGGGGAGTGTGCAGGAGGCGGCTGATCGATGTTTCTCTCTCATCGATGTTTCTGACTCTCTATCCCTCTTCCTTCCTCTCTGTAAAAAATCAATAAAATATATTTTTTTTAAAAAAGAAAAAGGTAAAAGGAGCTTTTGGAAACTAATGAGTACCTGCCCATTGCGTGTAACACAAACACAACAGAAAAAGGATTCCTGGGCCACAGTACAGAGGGAGAAGATTAGTGACCAATGTAACCAGTTGTACCTGTATGTTGGCATTTCTTTAAATCTTGCTCTAAGCATATGTATTATTTTTAAACTCAGTAATTCAAAATTAGTTAATATTATAATATGGCAAATTTATCAATAGAATATCTTTCTAGAAAAGATATAATTAAGCAGGAGTGGGCTGTCATTCTCACAGTTTTGCACATTAACATATATCTTTTTTGTCCAGAACCTAAGACAGAAGGCAAAGTATCCTAGCCCTTTTAGCTTTACCTCTCCCCAAGTGGAGGCAAAGAACCTGAGGGAATAAGAATTTATGAAGGATCCTTGCAAACCCAAACCTACAAAAGAAATGTGCATAATGTAACTGTTCTTTCCCAACTCCTATTCATGGGCACTGTGGTTCCTCAGAATTCAGAACATACTTTCCTTTCCAAAGAATTATAACTTATCAGATATGTCTCTAAGGATAAAGTCACATTTGTGAGAACAAAATCCATTTTTCTTACTTCAGATGGTTCTTAGTCCACAAATAATAGAATCAGAAGATCCATACTCAACACAGCTTAAGATGCCACTTGTTCTTAGTTTGGGTGCCATGACTGGACACAGGAGCACTTCCTCCCACCAGGGACATCCAAGTACACGCAGGAAAAAAATGCATGACAAATGGCACTGATGAGTGAAAAAGTTCTCAGTGCATTGGCATTTTTCAAAATCCTGAGGCCCTATTCAGAGATATAGATAGATATAGATATAGATATAGATATAATGAGATAGAGATAGAGATAGAGATAGAGATAGAGATATAGACTAGAGGCCCGGTGCATGAAATTCATGCATGGGGGTGGGGGGTCCCTCAGTCTGGCTTGCACCCTCTCACAATCTAGGACCGCTGGATTCTAACCGCTCACCTGCCTGCCTGATCACCCCTAACTGCCTCTGCCTCGGCCCCCACCACTGCAGCTTCATCTGGAAGGATGTCCGGAATGATATCCGGAAGGTCATTCAGCTGTCCAGTCTAATTAGCATATTATGCTTTTACTAGAGGCCCGGTGCACAAAAATTTGTGCATTCGGGGGGGAGGGGGGTCCCTCAGCCCGTCCTGTGCCCTCTCACAGTCTGGGACCCCTCGGGAGATAATGACCTGCTGGCTTAGGCCTGCTCCCGGGTGGCAGAGGGCACACCCAATCCCTAGGTGCAACCCCTGGTCAGGCTCAGAGCAGGGCCGATTGGGAGTTGGGGCGCCGCCCCGTCCTGCACAGAGCAGGGCGGATCGGGAGGTTGCGATGCCACCCTCAGTCACGCTCAGGGTAGGGCCGATTGGGGGATTGGGGCACCGCCCCCTGTCACACTCAAGGCAGGGTCGATGGGGAGGTTGCGGCGCCACCCCCTGTCACACACAGAGCAGGGCCGATCAGGGGGTTGGGG